CATTATTTTTTAAGACAGGGTCTCTCACTGGGACTTGAGACTTGCTAATTAGGCTAGGCAGGCAGGCCAGCAAGCCCCAGGGATCCACCTGTCTGTGTCTCCCCAGAGCTGGAATTACAAACCCTTGCCACCATGCTCAGCTTTATATATGGGTGTTGGGAATAAACTCAGGAGCTCATGCTTGAGCAGCAAGCACTTTACCAAGTGGGTCATCTTCCAAGCCACAAAAGGAAATTTTTAAAAACAAATTTAACTGGAGGCAGAAGCAGGCAGATTTCTGTGAGTTTGAGGCTAGTCTAGGTTACATAGTGAGCTTCAGGCCAGCCAGGGCTACATAAAGAGATCTTGTTTCAAAAAACAAAGGAGCTGGAGAAATGGCTCACTGGTTAAGAATACAGGCTGTTTTCCCAGAGGACTTAGGTTCTGTTGTCTGCATCCATGCAGCAGATTTACAACCATCTAGTTCCAGAAAAGGATATGTCTCCCTCTTCTGACAACCCAGGGCATTGCATGCTCCCATGTGGGTGCGCTTACATACATGTAGGCAAAACAGTCATGCACATAAAATAAAAATAATAAATAAAATATTTAAAAAGATTGCCAATCTCATTGCTTTAAAAAGAGGGAAAAAATAACAACAAAAATAGATTTAGCAAATGAATAAGATACACCCAGGATTATGAATATGGGCTTCTCAGAGGAGAATCACTTCTTGGAATGTTATTCAAAAGATATGACCACACCAGGCAAAGTGGTACACACCTTTAATCCCAGCACTCAGGAGGCAGAGACTGGCAGATCTCTGTGAGTTCAAGGCCAGCTTGATCTACAAAGTAAATTTCAGACCAGCCAGGGCTGCATAGTGACACCCTGTCTCAAATAAACAAACACCCTCACTAAGTAAGTAAATAAAGACGACCATAATTTAAGACTTGTTAAAGATGTAGAAGAAAATCAAAGTGTGGAAAGTGTAGAGGTCGACATTTCTCTTCTTTACATACTGTGGTTTAATGCCTAGAAGACAAGCATAGGAGCTTTAACGTTTAAAATGAAGTTTTGGACTCAAATTTCTCAAAGGATATTTTCACAAATAGCATAAACTTTATTTCTATTTTTAAAACTAAAAAGATTTCAATTTTTTTAAAGATTTATTTTTATTTTTAACTATGTGTATGTGCGTGGGGAGTGGGTAATATGCTCATGAGTACAGGTGCCCTTGGAGGTCAGAGGCACTGGAGCCCCTGGAGCTGGAGCTACAGGCAGTTGTGAGGCACCCAAGATGGGTGCTGGGAACTGAACTCAGGTCCTCTGCAAGAGCAGTAATTAAGAGCCATCTCTCCATCCCCCTTTTTTTATTTTTTTTTTGAAGGAAGATCTCACTATGTAGCACTAACTGGTTTGGAACTGGCTATGTAAACCAGACTGATTTTGAACATGTGATCCTCCTGCCTTTGCCTCCTAAGTGCTGAGATTACAGGTGTATCCTACACACCTAGTTTATTTTTATTTTTGTTTTCTCCTGGCATGAACTTTGAATAAAAACATGTAGGATTGGACACATGAACAGGGCAAAACAGTTACTACTGCTCACCTCTTCCTGCCAACACTACAAATTTATCCATTGAGTTGATTCTTATGGTTTGCAACAGGTCCTGGTGCATCATGAGGGCTAGGCCCAGAAGGGCATTTCCTAAATATTTTGTAACAATGAGTAGAAGACTTAGTCTTCTAGACATGCCCTACATATTTCCAGGATAAAACTGTATTACATCTTGTTTTTGGCTTGTTTATTTATCAGTAAGAGCTATAATGAGTAGCACTCCTGGGTTCTAACATCTGTAGCAAGATGTTTCTGCAAGCATGTAATGGAAACTTGTACTCAAACAGTCTTTTTTTTTTTTTTTTTTTTTTTTTTTTTTTTTTTGGTCTTTTTGAGACAGGGTCTCCCTATAGCACCAGCTGTCCTGGAACTATGTAGACCAGGCTGGCCTTGAACTCACAGAGATCCACCTGCCTCTGCCTTCCAAAGTGCTGGGATTAAAGGTGCATACCACCACCCCCAGCTTCAAAGGCTCTTAAACATTGAGAAAAGGCAGAATATAACCAGGTTACTCACTGGTGTTGTCAAGAACCTGTGTTTTTTTTTTTGTTTTGTTTTGTTTTGTTTTTTGAGATAGGGTCTTTTTTGTTTGTTTGTTTGCTTGTTTTTTTGAGGTAGGGTCTCATGAAGACTTAGCTGGTCTGAAACTTGCTATGTAGATCAGGTTGGCCTTGAACTCAGAGAGATCTGCCTGCCTTGGCTGGGATTAAAGGGGTGCACCTCCACGCCCATCTGAAAACTTACTTGAAATTTTCCCTTTCTGTTTTTTAACTTTGATTAGTGTGTAGGCTTTGACTGATTTTCCTCTTAGTTATAAAATGGCTGCCTGTGGCAACTGGGGTACTTGCTTCCTTGTTCACCCAGAATAGACAGAGAAACCTATCTTTCAAACCGTGGGATGCTAAGCTTTTTCCTTGAGTCTAATCAAGCTCCATATGGATTGACTTGAGACTAATTTGGACTTGCCTCCTGATGTGTGGAGGGGCTAGATATCTGAAAGCAGTGGGGGTTCCATTAGAAGGGAGCAACATCAAATAGATGCTGAGGAGGCACTGAAGCTGGTTCTTCATCTGGAAAATGGTGAGAATCTCACTGAGACTTTCAAGAATTCGAGGGAATGTGCACGACACTATCAGGTTGTCTAATGTAGCAAATAAAAATAGAGGATGTCCAGTTAAGCTTGAAGTTCAGATAAACAGAAACTTATTTTTCAGTATGTGTGCTCCTTTCTATAAATTTGTTTGGTTCTTAAGTGATTCTTTACAATCCTGATTACTTTAAAAGATCTAGGCCCAGAAGGGAGTTTCATAAATGCTTTTTGACAATGATTAAAAGTCTTATTCAGTGTTCTAGCTTTGTCCTGTGTGTATCTGGGATAAAAATACATACTTAGGTTCACAGTTATTCGGTGTTTATCTGAAATGAGAATTTATGGGTTTAGCCTGTATTTTCTCTGGCAGCCCTAAATGTACGTTCCTAGCACATAGCAGGCACTCAGTGGGAAGTATTAGTGTTCTTTTTACATAAGAAAAGAGCGTAGGTAAATGGCAGCAGGGTATTTTTCTAAAACGCTAAGGTTAGAATGTCTCCTTGTCTTTCAAAAGAGGACTTAGTGGAACTGGATATGGTTCCAATAAACCAGTACTCAAAACCAGATCAAAGCACTCCTTCCTCAGTGAAAGGCCGTATTTGCTCATATGGTATGACACAATAGGAAGCATCTAACACACCTACTTGAAACGACGTCGGATTTTTCTGCGTGTATTCTGTTATTGCTTTTTCCTCACCTTTTCTCAATCTGTACAGATAAATCATCCTTCATTTGATTCAAAGGCTGAAATTTCTAGTACAAAGACACTGACAGGGGTGATAATGGAGTGAATATCTCAGGAATTCTAGTTCCACGTGGGTGGAGTATGAGGTCACAGCCCTGGTACTTTCCATTTGGAGGAGGCAGGAGCCTTTGCAAAGCCTGACTCCATTTTTCCCCCTCACTGTTAATTCACTGCTCCTACCTGGAAATTTTTCTAATATGCTCCTTGAGAAAGTGGATGCCTTTGTTTGCTTATCAAATATTCACCATGTTATGAAAAAGAAAATTTTATTGGCTTGGACTTGAGTAGCCAAACCCATTATATTACTACCTACCGTTACCAGATTCAAGGCAAGAGTAGATTAAAAGGATTTTATCCAACATATCTATTCCTATTACAAAACTGCTATTCATGATTTGGTGGCTGCTGGGACCTCATACTGTCCTTTCCTAAAACCCAGAAAACCCCTTATTTTTTCTTCTGTGCATTTTTAAAGTGGAAATCATCATGCAGCCTTTCACAGACTTGTCTGAAATGTCTTTCAAAAACATTAATATTTTTTCCTTAATTTTCAAAAAAAGTGCACTGAAAACATATCTCTTTCCGTTTTTTTACATTCCTACTGGCCAGTCGATGACTTCATTGCTTTTTTCACCAGCTGAGGAATCTTGTATGGCAGAGCATCATCGGACCTGAGTAGAGTTGTGAGTTGCTGCAGTAGCAGGCGCCGCCGCCGTTTGCACTCGTCCAGCCACTGTGTAAGGAATCCTCAGTGCCGGCTCTTTGCTCCTTAGTCACCCCAGGGGATCGCAGGCTGCTAGATGAACTTGCAAGTGAATGTGTGTGGGTACGCGGGCGTGCGCGTGCATATGAGTGTGCATGTGTGTGTGCGCACGCACAGCTGCAACAGTTAGGCAGCAGCAGTAGACTTCGATATCATTTTTTTTTAACCAACAAAGATAAACCATCCTTTATTTCCAATCAGTGTCCCGGCTGCTGCTGCCGGAAATATGCTCCCGGCTCCGCACTAGCTCTGCGCATGGGTCCCTTGGGAGGGAGGCCAGGATAAGCTGCGCTGCAGGCAGGATTCCCCCCTTTTTTTTTTTTTTCCGCAGTGACAGGCGGATTCCCGGGCCTCCTCGTCCCTCCACCCCCGCAGCCTCCCCTCTCTCAGTCACGATCTCTCCCCCCCCTCCGCCCTTTCCCCGCCACCCTGCTCCAGCGCCAGCTCCCAGCTCCGGCCCCGCCCCTCCCAGCCTAGCAGTCCAGGTTGCTAGGGCCTGGCGGGGCAACCAAACCTGGTGCTCCAGTAGGCGCGTCGTGAGCGCGCATACGCGGGTGCGCGCCCAGTAGAGCGCTAGTACAAAAACTCAGCATTCTTCGATTTCTAGGATCCTAGAACGAGCGGCGTAGGCGGGGCGCGCGAGCCCGACCCCGAGCACGAGCGCTTTTTCCTCATTGGTTCTTGTCTGAAGTAGGCGTGGCTGAGGCGGGAACTGGCCGCGTGTGACGAGCTTGTCTATTGGTCCGATGAGCAAGCCGGGGCGGGGCAATCAGCAAATTAGGCTGCGCGTTCGCTCCGGCCAGAGGGCGGGGTCGGAGCTTTCGATTAGTTGTCGCTGCCTTTGGGGAAGGTAAAGCAGTGACGGTGGTCGCCGGAGCAGAGGCTTCCCGGTCTTGGAGGTGGGAGACGCGGTGGGGTGAGTAGTCGCATCCGCCCGCCAAGCGGTCTTCCTCTCACCTTGACCCGGAGTCCACCAGCTTGTCCCCAGAGAAGGGATCGAGTCGGTCCCCTCAGGCGGGCTGAAGGGGCGTCGGCGCCGGTCCCTCGAGAACGGGGCGACGCGTCGAGGGCGTCCCAAGCTGGAGTCGCCCTTCCTCAGCTACCCAGCGCGCATCTCCAGAGGCTTCCCCGAAAGGCTAGGGCTGGGTTTGGGGGTACCGGGAGGCCGACGGACTATGCCGGAGGGGTGGCGGGTCAAGGCCGGACCCGGCGGGGCTCCCCTCGGCTGCAGGTCTGCGGCGTCCCCGCCCCGCCGCCCCTGTGGCCAGGGCTCCCCGGGGCTTGTGGCGAGGGAAGCCCTTCTCTGCCTGCGCGGAGGACAGCCTGGAGCCCCCAACCTAAGTTCCCAGAGAGCGGGGCCGGGACGCGCCAGTGACTGCGACTCGAAGTCCTGGCCCTTCTGACCTTGGCTGCCGGGGTGGGTGGGCGAGTGCCCTGTTCTCAGCCCCGCGGCTTTCTGCCACCTTCCACCGGCCAAGTTTCAGGCTGTCGCTGTGAAGTTCAAGGCGGGCGTGGTTGGGGAGAAGCAAAAATTGGCCCCTTCTCAGATCTTCCTACCCTTTGGACTCTCAGAGAAATTGAATCTTGGGATTTGGAACCTTGTTCCAGAACGAACAGGTTCTTCTCGCATCAACACATTTGTGTGTGTGTGTGTGTGTGTGTGTGTGTGTGTGTGTGTGTCTGTCCCAGTCCCTGTCCATAGAGGGGTGAAAAATAACGTGAGCATATTTAAATGTAAAAGCAGATCTTCCTGGAGGGTTTTGTTTTTTCGCTTCACTTGAGTGTTACCGCACAGATGCTTGAATAAAAGCCTGACCTTAGTGTCTCAGCAGTGGGATTAGACGGATGCTGTAATATTTGAATAGTTGCAGATCAGAATTCTGTTAACACTATTTTAATTGGCTGAAATTTAAGCTGATTTTCGAAAGTATTGTTGACACAGAATAATTTCTGTGCATCTGATTTAGGTTTGTTTGAATGTAGTGGTTCTGTAGGCAATGTAAAAGATTACAGAAATTAATTTGTCTGAGTGCATTTGGCTGAACACAGGCATACATATGTATAGAATATAGGATTATGGTTTTAGGTAACATCTGCTGGAACATTTCCAGCTTGTTTCTTTCTTGCTGTAGGGTTACAAAAGAGACATCTTTACTGAGACACTTCTGAATTACAAGTGAATGATATTTAGATGTAAATTTGTTTTTAATATTTTCTTAGAAATGTAAAGAGTCTTTCCTTGTCCTTGTTTGTGCAGTGTGGAGATAGTGCAATCTTATATTTAAGAACCCAATTAGAATTTATTAATAATAAAGATTTAAAAGGCGTGCCTCTTTTGAGAATTTGGCATTTAAGTACCTAGCGAGCCCTTTTCATTTCTTTATTAAGAAAGCCTGCAGCAGTATTACCAGTTTGACACCATCAGTGGGTGTTTCTGTTGACAAATGCGCAGACAAGAACATTTGGGAAGGAAATCTTTTGGGAGGGAGGTGGGGGGTGGAAAGGGAGAGTGGGTGAGGGGAGAAAGAGCCAGAAGAGAGAAGCTGAGGAGCTAAAGCTGACAACTGTGTATGCCGGGCATTTTACAGGTACAAGCAAACCTAAGTAAGGCAAAACCCAGCAATTAACCCCCCCAAACCATTTGGCTGTATTAAATAGTAGAACTCTAGAAGAAGTGTACTAAATGGAGTTAACCATTCCAAGGGTATTAGAAATCTGCCATTTCAGAGTAGTCGCTTCTCATTTGGAAAGGACATCTGATCCCTTTGAATTATTGTCTTTTAATCATAATCCATGCATTGGTTCATTTGATAGGCAGAAACAGTTCACTGTCCTGATTTTGTTGATTTAGTGTGTCTCCTAATCCTTTTTTAAAAATAAAAAGCACTTGATATATTACAAGAATTAATTAGAAATAACATTCCTTCCCCGGAGAGCATGACCTTTTGCATTACTCAGGCTTATAATTTAATAATGATTTAGGGGCTTCTGGTAGGGATTTTTGAATCTCTTAATCTCTGGTTTTGATTTATCATTATTTTTGCTTATGCAAGGTCCCTAAATAAATGTTTAATCCTTGGAGTTATTTAAATCAGAGTGGCATCTACTATGTTCCCTGTTGTTTTTAAAGGGCAAGGTTCCCATTGAGAGAAATTGCAGGACCATCTCGCATAGCTTAGAAATAGAAGGTTGAATGATTGTAAAACAAATGTATCCTGTGCTAAATATTCTTTTGATAACAACAGATTTTACATGGAGTTTTCTATTTTGAAGGTGCAGTAATTTTTAAAAAATAGTTTATTGTTTTTAATGTGTATGAGTATATTGTCTGCATGTATGTAAGTGCACTCAGGTCGTGCAATGCCCATGGAGGTCAGAAGAAAGTATTAGATTCCCCTAGTGTTTGGATATTAGAAGGTGTGCTAATAACTTACTTTTGGCAGTTAGCATGGGGATGTGACTTCATGTAATAAATTGATGTCAAATAATAGCATGAGGCATTTAAATGAACAAATGAATCCACTTGCATAGATCCAAAACATGGGAGAAATTCTTTATATAACCCTTATTTTTGGTAAAAAGTAGCAAAATTTGAAGTATTTAGTTGTTTTCTGAGTAGAAAAGGCTGTTTACTCAGAATCAGATAATTTTAGACACCAAGATATTATTTTGAGTAACATCAAATAATTTGACAACATCAATTCCTTGATAGGGGAAAAGATCAACTCTCAAAAGTTGTTTATCATAAGCTAAAGATGTCAGTTAGACCACATATTTCAACTTAGGAAAACAATGCAATCAAAAGACTACTTTTATTGCTGGGGCTGAAGCTCACTGCCAGAGTGCATGGGTCTGAACTGGATCCCTGTCACCAGGTGGTGAAGGAGGGGACAGTAGTCTACATTTAAGCACTTTGTAGGCTTTTTCTTCTTGCTTTCAATCTTTACCTCAACATTCTAAATGTTTTTTTGACAATGCACGATTTTAACATTTGCGTTTTTATTTTGTTATTGGTTTTTTTTTTTTTTTGAGACAGGGCCTCACTTTTAGTCTAGGTTGGCCTGAACCAACTCACTGTGTAGCCCAGGCTGGCTTGAAACTTTGTCACAATCCTCCTGCCTCAGCATCTCAAATGCTGAGATTATAGGCATGAGTCACCATGACCACCGGTTTGGATTTTAATTTTTGATAGTTTTCAGAATATTTTCTTTATATAGACCAGTGCACAGATGACAAAATTACTCAAAGATAGGCCCTCATTTCTCATTCACATGTTTCCATTTTTTCATATTGAGATATGAACTTTGGAGGCAATTCTGTTAGCAGGTGTGAAAACTGGGGGTAAGGATATTCTACCTAAAGAGACGAATAATAAGGTAAACATTTCAGATTTGGAAATGAACAGAAAATTATTTCTTAAAAGAGTTGAAAAGACCTGGTTCATTCAGTTCTTTGAAATTGGTTGTCAACACCTTGAATTAAGCTCTTGACTTAGAAACATTTGGTTTGGGGGTGATTCTAATCAGGATCAAGCTTTGGGTGTGGTATTTCTTTTGAATAGCCTGTTCTATAATTCTTAGAATACTATATTTATTGAAATTGAACCTCACTGGATACCAGATAGTGTAGCAAGTCGTTCTTCACACAGATATATGCATGCATGTGTTCTCACAGCCTCTCTCTGAGGTAGATGTTTTTCTTATTTCCCACATCCATGTCAGATGGGCTCAGACATAATTTACGCATATTAGCCAGCTAGTCAGCAGAAGAGGCAAAATTGCCATCCAAACCGGTCTGACTTGAAGTTGCGCTTTTCAAAAACCTGCTTTCTGCTTCTCTCTAAGGGCCTGATTCCTCAAGCTTACTTTGAGTTCATTCTATCCATCATGCTTGGATAGGTGCTGGAGGCTTAAATATACTTCCTGAATTTGATGGGCTTCATTGGCAAAGCTCCCTGACCTTTGATGACATGGGGGCCTGGACTCCATCAAGACTGCTGGGTAGGACAACTGAAAGTATAGACTTTTCTAACACAACCTTATTGGTTTGGTTCCTTCATAAATGAAAGTTGTACATAATCATTTATGCCCAAAGAAAGATAATTATTTCTAATTAAGCACTTGGTATTTCATGTTTATGCATATTCCATTATAACTTTTGACTGACTTTGATTAAATTTGCTGTACTAATCAAGATTTTGAAGATACACCTTGAATTCGGTTTTGTCTTTTAGATGTACTGTGTTGATAGGGATTGAAGCCAGGGTCTTGCACATACTAGGAAGGCACTCTACTACCTACATCCCTAGCAGCCAGACTGCAGGCTCTAAGTTACTCAGGCTAACTTTGAACTGACCACTAGCAGGCCTTGAATGATCTCTTCATGCCTTAGCTTCCCCCCCTCTGCTCCCCCGCCCCCCCACCATCGCAAGTTGGAATTACAGGCCTGAGCTACCAGTCCTGGCTAGATGTGCTCTTGACATGCAGCCATTATCATTTGCAGATGAGCATCTTTTTTGTAACTACAATGACTTCTTTAAAATAAAATTTATAAGTGAGATATAAAGAGGTATGTCATTCTTGTTTCTTAATCACAGAGATTGGACTCTGCTGAAAAATTTTCTGTTGAATGCAGAATTTAGGGGCTGAGATACAACACTTCTGGTAGAGTACTTGCCTGACTTGCACCAAGTCCTGGGTTCAATTCCCTAGCACCATATATACAGGATGTGATGACAGATACCCATAATCTGTAGCATACAGGAAGCCCTGAATTCCAACCCTGCATAAACTGAATGTGCTGGCACATGCCTGTAATTCCAGCACTTGGGAGGCAGGAAGACCAAGAGGTCAAGATCATTCTTGGCTATAATAGTTTAAGGCCAGCCTGGGCAACATGAGCTCCCCCCGCCACATC